AGGGAAACCCGAGGGTTACCTGCAGAGCTAACATGCATGAAAGTGATTAACTGCCCAATACAGCCTAAGAAACATCACCTTTTGGTCTTCTACTACTTCTCCTCCTGGCTCAGTGTCATCATAATCCAGAAAGCTTTTCCAATAGAAGAACAAATTACTAGCTCATTTCTCAGAGGAAGCCAAATCTTGTGCAAACAGGCCCACAGATGCAATTACCTACGAGCAACTACCCTACACCAGCTCTTCAGCTCACATCAACCCCTCTTGCTACCAGTGTAGGACTGTGTATCATGTTACTGCAAGCTGGTTTAGGATAGTGCAATGAAGATCGGTTTGAAAGTTAAACAGTTAAAAATACACACTAGGTTTATTTATTTTTTCATCTTTATACAGTGCCAACACCCCTGCAACACAAGTTGGCATGGGTCATCAGATGAATGGAGCAGCTTTCCTTCCAAATTAGTGGCTCAGGAGACTACATTGTTCAACCTTAAACTAAACTATATTTTTTATAGGGGATATTGATCATTGCAACTCCTAGAATTTTAATCAGGGTCTTAATAGTTTTGAAGAAATAGAGGTACCCTTATGCTATCCATAATGAAAGCCTGAATTCTGGAGTCCTGCTTTGCAGGGTGCGTGAATTCCACAGCTGTGGGATCATGGAATACAGGGGGCCTAATCATACAAGGCAAGAATCAATTCTGGTAGATGATTAAAAGCTACAATGAATCTGAGAAGTTTAAGAACCACGAAAGCTAGTTCTTGCCTGTCAACTCCAATAGAATGAACATTACTTCTGTGTTTAAATCTTGAAAGAAGATTCAAAACAACCACAACATAATGAAAGAAGAAAAAAAAAGGGGAGGGGGCGGTGGGGGGAAAGGTGTGTTTCATGCCTCATCAGAATTTTTTGCTGCAAGGGAACTTAGCAAGTTCCTCAGTGATGCTTTTTTAGACTCCCCACTGATAAGACTCCATGGGTACTTAGGTATTAGAATGTTAGAGCCACACAGATAAAAGCTGGATTATCTCCGGTGGTCTCTACATGGAGGTAGTAGTCTGAGAAAACAAACCAAGACCACCTCAAGTCAGAGGCCAACAACAGTGGCTGGTACTGTGCCACACAACCTCTGTGGAGCACAGTTCTTTACAAAAGCTTGTGTGGAAGACACCATGCAAAGGCCTCTTCACCCTTTGGCATCAACCTCTCTGGCAACACAATGCTTTAGCCTTGCCTCTGTTGAGTAGGTGCTGCTGGCCTCTTCAGCTGAACAAAGGTCTAGATTAACTTCTCAGCTCTGACACAGATCTCTAAGCCCTTGGGCATGTTATTTAAATCCTGACCCAGCAAAACACAAATGCACAAATGCACCATATTTATTGCTACAGATCACACCAAACACAAGGTCTGCTTTAGCTACCCTCCTAGACACGACAGACTTTGGTGTCCCCACTCTGTAAGAGAGGCATAGAAAATGGTAATACAGGCATCTTTGAACTCTCCAAATCAGCTTTCACCTTTGACACCTTATGTATAGTGTTTTCTCTCTGTGTCTAAAATAAAAATAGAGCATTTGCTTGGAGTTTCTTAGTAATGCATACAACCAACAGCATTATCAGCAGCCAATTCTGTGCCATGCAAAAAAGAATGGATTTAATTTTCTTTGCTGTAAATGAAATCTCAGTGTACAATCTATGTGCTAGAATTAAAAGCTTCCATTAGCAATTACCAAACGTCCTAAGCTTCAAAAAACGGAAATTAACCTCATGTTGATGACAGCTACTTAGTGATACGTCCCCATAAATACTATCACCAGGGACAAAAATAGGGAAAAAAGTCTGTCTTCACATTCAGAAAAGATTAAGCAAGAGCACCCCTGGACTAACATGAATTACTTGTTAACACATTTTTCAATTGTGTAACAATCCCTTTGCATCTGGATCCTGTTTAGAGTAAAAATTTAACTTTTAAATTGGTTTTCAGTTGCTACCTTAAGAAAAAAATATTTCAGTGCTGAAAGAATACACACAATAAATTTATGGGCACATTCAAACACATACTAGGAGCTGCTTAATGCATATCAAATTGCTTTCCAGTAACCACACAAATTAAAAAAAAAAGACAAAGAAAAAAAAAAAAAGAAGAGCAAGTGGAATTATCTACTCCATGCTATGGTTCAAAAATTTTAACCTGAAACTCAAACAAGCTCTATCATATTTCCCAGACTCAGCATGAACTGCTGTTCTGTCTTGTCTGTGTCTTGACGTCTATTGCTCCTACTTTTATCTATTAAAACATTTATAAGCCTTACACACACAATAAGAAAGGACAAGCACATTTCTATTGAAAAGCACTATTGTGTATTTGCAATTGTTTCAGGGATCACTTACCCTGCAAAGCAAAGGAACACCACAAAATCCTGTAAGACTGTTCTAATAGCCATTTAATATGCAGGTCTGCATGACCCCATAATCTTGGACTATAAATTGTTTTACAGGTCTAGATTCTACAACTGATCTTCTACAATTACGAATTTTGATAGCATTGATCAACTGAGAAAACTACATCAGTCTTCCAAACAGCCTGATTGTTCTTTGCATGGATCAGTGTCTACATCTGTGTACTGTATGATTTATCCCGTAATTTTATTAAGTGAGCAGTCTCCACAATTAGCAGTTACAAACACCTGGCTGCATTTCAAATTTTAAGGAAGTCTTGGTTACCTACCACTTCAACAAAATGTGAATGACTTGAATATCTTTACATCCTGCCAATAAATAAAAATATACAACACTTACACCAAAATTACATGAGGGAAAGATACATACTTAAGGCAGACAAACATTTGTACAGTACAGCCAGGAGAAGTTGCAGTCAGCTTTGGCATGCTGAGGTTTCTCTCAAAGCCTTTGTTAAATGTATGTTGTTGCATTATAGTAAAAAGAGAAGTAAAGATAACTTACAGGAGGTCCAGTTTCCCCCTTTGGACCTCTGACACTTCCCATTTCAAACATTTTGTCAAGATCTTCATAGTCATAAGCATAATTATCAATACCAATGTCATAACTGTTTTCTGTGTGAGAAGTCTCATCAGCATCAAGTGCACCTTCCTGCCCTGGACCAAGCTGATTATCCAGAGAAAGGTCAGCAGACAGACTGTACAGGGTTGTGTTGAAGATTTGCGGCTTTTTGCTTGGTTCATCTAAATATTGTTTTGCTTTGTCCACTCCCTTGCTTTTAGTTTTACTCTGTTTTACAGGGGAGATCGGAGAAGGCTCACTTTGTCTGCCTGCATCTTCGGTAGTATTATCTAAAGTATTCAGATATGATCCTGTGGGTGTTTTAGTGTTGTTTCTTTTTTTGCTCAGCTCCTGCTGATGAAGAGGCAGATCGATGTTCTCCTGGAGTTCTGTTTCAGGCCAAGCTTCCAGTAACAGAGGTTTGGCTTCTGCAATCTCCGATGCAGAAACGTTTACTGACTCAAAGTATTCTGGTAGAAAGTGAATCTGAGCAATATTGGTCACAGGAATGTTTGATGCTTCTTTCCTTCTATAAGCAGATATACCTTCTGACTGTTTTTTCTCATCAATCATCATCTTCGAAAAAATATCCAGCCCATCTGACACACGCGGAGCTCCCACCTGAGATCGGTACGTTTCAGCCTGGCGACACTGCTGTTTCACATATTTACAATAGTTTGCAGAGGCTTCTGCAGAGGGAATAATATCTAGTTGACATATAACTCCTTCAAAGCTGACAGAGTTAGCGTTCATCCTTCCCAGGGTAAATAAACCATCCAAATCAAATGTCTCCGCTTCAGAAAGTATTTCCCTGCTATAGTACTTCTTTCCACACTCAGCAAACATTGAGACAGTCTTGTCTCTAATGTCAATGGCAAATGAATGCCACTGTTCATTATGAACACTATAATCAAAGCATACGGACTGCTTCCCTCCAGTGTACACCACTACCTTTCTCGGTAGCAACTGGACCCCAAACTGCAGTCTACTTTTGTTCCTAATACTGAAAAGGAAAGCATTATTTACTCTGTAAGAGTACAACCCAACCAATATGGTGAACTGATGCCCTAGATTTGATGGTATAACTTGAACGATGGGGGACTCAATATGGGCATCACTAGTTAGTACAACTCCCGATACAGCCAGACGAACACCCTGAGGTAACTGAGATGATGTTGAGGACACTGACGTCTCTGAGGACTGTTGAACATCTTTCACAAGGCCCAGTTGATGAAGAACATCTATGGCTGTAAAAAGAAATAAAGGCATACTGTTGACTTCGTTTACAACCTCATAAATTCAGATCCCTATAAACAAATATACACACAACATTTTAACAAATCTGTACTTCCCAGAGCATGTATACTGCACACAGCAAGGTCACTAGAAATGCACATGGATCTTTCACATAAATCAAATGAATAACTAACGCCAAAATTTCCGTCTTAAAAAAAAAAAAAGAAAACCACACAGAAAGGCCCACATAATGCCCATTGTAGGCTAATTCATTTATGAAGCTGAAAAATCTCCATTTGCTGTCTTCAGCATTTTCACCGTCATCAATGAACACGCTTTGTTAGTTGCTTATTTATTTGGCTGATCCTGCCTACTCTTTGAGCAGGCGGCTTGGGGTTTTTTAACTTTTTTTTCTGCAAAAACCTTCTGCAATAAAACCATGCCTTTTCTCTTTATCTAAAGAGTTTAATTCAAAGTATTTGAGGGCAGGGTTGCTTTGTTTTTAAGAAGGGACAAGCTATTTATAACACAGTAACGCCTCAGTGGAGCATCATAAGATAGTCACTGGCTCAAAGCAAAAGACAAAGGTAAACCTTGCCGAGGAGCTACTATGTGCTGCAGAATAATTCAACTGGTACCTGGGAAGAACTGCTGTTGCTTGCACCAGGGAGCTCCCGTCCTGCCAAGAAGGCCCTGTGCCATTACAGAGCTGGCTTCAAAGGGAATTGTTTTCCTACTGGGATCACCCTTGGTTGTATATATCTATGCCAAAGTTAGTCAGACTAAAAGAAAACAAAAGATCTTTCCAAGGAGAGATGCAACAGAGTGCACTGCCGCCTCCTCTCCCTCCACACAGTTTACTTGTTAGGGCCACAGATGAGGTGAACGTTGCAAGTGGTGAGGAGCAAGGAAAGACAAGGAATGTCCAGACCCAAGGGACAGTGCTCCCATTTTCTGGCTCATCTGTCCTCCCAGTGAATGTAAGGCTGCAGCTACCCAGACAAGGTATTGAACTGAGTGCACTCCACAGCAGGAGACAGCAGTAGACATTAAGGAGACAGAGAAACCAGCTGTCCTACTGATTTATGTCCTGTAGATTTGGCTTTGGCATATGGGATTCTGGATAGGAGGTCTTCCTATAGAGTGGAACAGGCAGTGGTGTTTTCACTGTTGGACTTTCTAGCATCTTACGTGATGTGTGCTTTGTGCTTTAGCCCTTTCCTTAGCCCGGACCTTAGAGTATCTCCATCTTATCCAGCTAAATATCTTCATCTAATGGATAGAAACATAATTATCCACCCTCCTGAAAAACTGAAGTAATATCTGACCCAGGGTAAGAAATCAAAGCCACTCTCCTCCTAAAGGGTAAATCAATGGTCAAAGATAACTGAATTCATTTGGTATTGCCTAAATCAGATTTAGGAATGTTGGAGTCAGTGAGCATGAACACCTTCCTTCAGCATGAATATAAAGACACCCTTAGATCCCTTATGAAGCAGCTGAAACAGAAACACTACAAAGGCTTGAATAGGAGCTAAACTGCATGTCCCCAGCACTCTTCCTGTAGGGTCGCAAACTAAGACAGCACTTTCAGCATTGTTTGGTAAAACTGGCAGTCTGGGTGCTTGTGAAAGGTGCCACAGAAATAATGGAGAGACCGAGACAAAACAGTCACGGAAGTAAGAGACAAGGAGGATGGAGGCTAAAACACAGGACATGAGAAAAGCCTAGGTGAGCTACCTTTGCTTGGCCTGGAGATTGGAAGGTTTGAGGGAATCTAATTGCAATTTGCCATTTTCTGATTGGGGGTTATAGGGAAAAGCAAAAAAAAAAATGAGTAACGGGCATAAGCTGCAACACAATACATCCTAGTTCCACATAAAGAAAAAGCATTCTCACCACAAAAGTGGTGGAGGCCAGAGACATTGTGTATTCTCCATTCCTGGAGATTTTCAAAGTTAAACTGTACAGGATGCAGCAATCTAAACTTCAACATTGACCCTGATCTCAGCAGGAGGTAGGAACAGATGACTTCAATGTTCCTCCAACCTAAATCTTTCAGTTTTCTACACAAGGGGAAATGGAACATTGTCGTTTTTATAAACAGCATTGCACAGAAGCACATGATACCATCTTTTTTCTCAAAACTGGAACAACTGATTGGACCCATGCTTCAGTGAATTACCTATATTAAAAATTACTAGTGGTATCTAGCAGTTGCACTCATCTAATAAGCCAGGTTGGGAGGAGTCTGGCACTCTCCCGAGCATTTAGCTGAAGGTACCTTTTACTATGCCTATTGCGCTTATATTAAGTAAATAAAGCTATTAAATGGCATTAACAAAAATTTGTAGTAACCAAGAATAGATAAGGATTCTCTGTTATACTAGGAGAAATGAGCAACTGAAACAAATGGATGTTCACTCTTTTAGTGGGGAAAAAAGGACTTCTTTCCCAGTCTTTCCTTCCTCTGTTTACTGAATGTATTCATAGCAAACTTTAAGAATAGACAGATGTTGGCTTAGTTTCAGTGGTAAGTCATGGAAAGAGCCTGAGATTTCCTTGAGAGTGGTAAATTAGAACCAAAAGCATCAACCTGAATGCACTATACATCTTGAAAATTAATTACACACCTTGTAGTGTTTCTAGTCATGTTTCAGAATCACGGACATGCCAAGATTATCCTGGCGGGTAGCCAGCGCAGACAGAGGTATGGAGAAAGCGTATCTTTGCAGAAATTCATGTGTACGCCAATTTCTCAAGATGTTTTGCCTCAGAGCATTTAATTTATTATGGCTGTATTTTTATCTGTCAAACTGATAACAGAGGTCAGGTTATTGCAGAGCTTCGAAGCACAATGTATCTAATGAACCACCACACTTTCCCAGGACCCCAGCCCTGCGTGGTCTGCATTGTAGTTACAGAGGAGAAGGCTAAGGAGAAACACAGGTCGCAAGCCCTGGGCAATGAAAGAGTCTTACATGTGCACATAATACCCCACGGCTACAGACACAGCTCCAGCACTTCTGTGCACTGGCTGGGCCAGCTGACTGCACAGAGGAGAACAGCTAATAATTTAACCTAAAGTTGTGCCTAAATATCACATCCTAAATGGAAATATTTGGCAAGTACTTGTATTTTAAAATATTTGCAATTATATATTTGCATTATAGAAATAATAATGCATGTGATTTGTCTAAAGTATTATAAACTGAAGTATAAAACAAAAAGCTTAAACTTAAACTGGCTTAAAACAGTCAATTTAAAAATTACATTCAAGAGTATCACTACTAAATCTCAAACTGCAAGCAAAAGTGCCAAGATTTTGGCAGGCCTGATTTGAAAACAGCACATTGTTTAAAACTTATTAAAAAAAGGAAAATCATCTGAGAGCATCATGAGAAATGAGACACATTCTCCACATCCTGCAAACAGATTGCTGTGAACAATGACAAGTCCTGAGAAAGCTAAACAAATAAATGCTGTGTGAAAAATGACAGCAAAAGATTAAGTATCGACTAATTATTCCTTGTTGACTTGCTGCCTGTTAACTTACCATCAAGCCAAAAGGCTGTTCCAAACTTTTTTGGCCAGTCATTTAATTTCTGGTCCAACATGTATTTTTATCTTATTTTAAGGCTTTCAGAAGCTCTTGGCAGTACACAGGGTTTTGGGAGCAGGCAACTGTCTCAACTCTTCCTCCCAGCATGACAACCACTATTTTCTTTACCTATCAGTAGTCAGTTTTCTTTGTTTACCCATGCCTTCACAACATCTGTCTTCACTTACTGTTCACTCAACCCATTAGTCCCCCCAGTTGTAACAGCTCATCTTCTCGAAGGAAAAGTTGTTTGGGGGATTTTGGTATCAAGTGCTTTCCTTCCACCTAGGAGGACATGAAAAATTCACCACCTTACTGCATTCATGAGGGGAGGGAAAAACTAACAGGGGCTTGGGCAAAAAATCTTCTGTCCCTCTTGTGGCACCAAAAAAAAAAATACCCAGACAAACAAACAAAAAAATCCCTCCCCAAATAATCCCCAAAAGGAACTGGGGAGGGATGAGGGGGTTTGACTATTCGATCGCTCCACACCCCTATTCTGTTCAGCCTCTCTTGTTCATTTTCCACATTCCTCCATACTCATGACTGCTCTGAAGGCAGGATACTTGGGGTTCTCTCTCTGTTTCGGCAATCCTAGCATACACATTACCCGCTTTCCATTTACCAGTATGGGTAAGGGAAAGACAAGATTCATTCAGTCAGCTCCACCAGAACTGAGAGGTTGCCCATTTCCTATGTCATCCTACATCTGTAGTTCGGTAAATTAAGATACCTGGCTGCAACCAATGCTCTCCTGGACACCAAGCCAAGTGACTGGCATAGGAAAACCAACCAGGTACAGAATTGATGTATTTGTATTATTTGTAAAGGCTCAGGCTGTACCTTTACATGTATTTCACTGAACACAATTTACAGCAGCCTACCAAAACGAACAAGGCATAGCTTCTCAAGTAAAATATACACCGGCTGCCCCACCAGCTCAGGAGAGAAGAAATGTTGATTACTCCAACTAGCATCTTCATATTTGGCAGAATAATCTTTTTTCTGAAAATACAGCTGCCAAGAAAGTTTTAATAACAACTTAAGTGTTAACATATTCCTCGTGTGCAGACAATTCTAAACAAACGCTGAACACTGCAAATGGAACAGTGCTAGCTCTACAAGCTGTACACCCAGACTGAAGGATACACTTTAACTGCCTTTTTTTTTTTTTGAGGTTTCCTCAGACTGCTGCTCCTTAAACTCCTTTTTGAAATGTTGTTTACACACTGTGCTAATAAATTGCACGAGGGATCTAATTCACCCACAGGCAAAAAGCTGCATCAAGGTTCAACGCATTGGTTTGATCCTAAGCAAACCCTAAAAGAAAATAAAGCCATGTATGGCACCTGCACAGAGCAGGTGCAGGGGAGTTCCCATTCAGCAAGTTTCTCATATGGCTATCTAGAAATGCTGCTGAGTAATAAAAAGTAGGAAAGCTCCTTCCTCTGCTGGTGACCAGAAAGAAATCTAATACAAACATGCCAAGACTGATGGCTTTATGCCATTTCTGCACAGAGGTGCTCTCAGCCAAGAGGCTGAACATCTGGGTGCACCCACTCCCTGGTGACGCTGCCTCCCCCATCCCGTAGCCTCCACAGCCCTTGCCTGAAGTTTCATTAGAAAAGCAATTCTCAGGCTGAGGCCCCAGAGAAGGGAGAGACATTGTTGTTTCTTAGCAGAGAAGGAGGGTGGGGTGGAGTGGTGAAGGCAATGCAAACCATGGCCGCACACCTGTCTCTGGCATCCCTCACCTGCTCCCACTACACCAGGACAGTGCAAACTGCCTCCCGAAAACAGCCTCTCCCCTTCCCATCCGCAGAGGCCTAGAGCAGGGCAGGCCACACGCATCTATGGGTGCTGCCTCTCATGAGGACTTGGCTCCGCTACAGAAAAATCCAGGAAAATCCCATCATCACAAAAGCAGATGTCCCCCCCCGAGCTGAACGTGAAAAATCAACAACCAATCTTACCAGGCAAACACTTAACAACTAATGGAAGGCAAAACCACAGAGAGAACAGGGAAAAACACACAACTGAGGGGAAAGGCACTGGTGAGAATAGTGGTGAGAGGCTGCTGAGATATCCCACCGGGCTTGAGCAAAATGTTATCGGGAACAAGTCATGTCTTAACCATGCAACCCAGCTGTTTGTACACTTGTGGCTGAGTACTTGCAGTTAATATCCTTACTGGCCACGGACAACCTATTTCTTGCTTCACCTGTACAGTGAAGGAACATGGCAGAGAATTGATGCCGCCACTCTCCTGGCAGATAAGAAATGACTAGATGGCATGTTAGCCTCCACCACTTTGGGACTTAATACTCCCACAGCAGTCTGTAGTGCAAGCTGCACATCTGGTGCAGTTGTAACAGCAGATTAAAAAAGAAACTGAAAAAAAGACAACCCTATTTCTTCACTAACATCTGCATCTGAATGCAAAACCAAATGAATACACAATTTGATTTTTGCTTTAATGATGCCAGCCTAGACTAAGCCTTTATTATATACAGCCGTTCGCTTGCACAGCCCTAAGTGCAAAGGTAACTCAGTCATAGTTTGCCACCCCCAAGGACACCCACTTGGAGTGAAGACACAATCAAAGCCTTTTCACTGTACAAGGCTTCTCTTTTATGAAGAGCCTGCTTAAATATGTAAGCAATTTCATAGACAGAAAATCTGAGTAATTTTCGAAAGGTCATTTTTTTCAAACTGGTTGCTTTAAATTTTTGCTCTCATTATGCTGTAGCTGGTATTTTCTTGAGGTCACCCTTAAAGAACTGAACCTAAGGTCACTACTAAAAACAGCCATCTACTCTCTTCTTCTAGTAACAGATTATACAAATGCTTGATTATAAAACAAAACATTCTCACCTTGTTTGGGTACTTGCGCAACACCCACAGCTATACATATTGCAATGAAAAGGAGAGTTTTCCTGGAAGAGAAAGAAAGAAAAGAACATGTGAGAAAACATCTAAAGTTTCAGAACTCCAAGGAATTAGAAGCTTGATTCAATATCCAAAGTCAATGGCAGGATACCACTGACTTCAGCAAGCCCTGGATCAAAGCCACCACATTGGACAACTTTCCACTGAAGTCGAGAAGCTGTTTTACACGAAGATCAAGGGTTATGTATGCCCTCATATATAGTTCATGTATTTCACACTGGCTTATATTAATAAAGCAACTGCATCTGGTTTATATTTTCATGCAGCAGCCTTCAAATATGAATGCTGCTATGTAGCAAATTTCTTCCTGGAAAGAAAAAAAATGTTGCTGTAAAGAAACCGTAAAATAAATTACAGTATGTGTAGAGATCATTAGATGGTTTTTACCTGCTATCAGTCTTGTCACCAGATCACATAATTTTGCTATAAATGAAAATATTGTGTCACACTTTCATTCCTGTATGACAAAACTTCATTATGTTACAAACAAGACCTGCTCTTCACAAAGTAAAAAAAAAACAAAACAAACCCAAAAAACATCACATTTTGACTTAAAACTCCATGCTCAGGTAGAAGAGTGCAATACTGATAGGTATCGTGGGCTCACCAACTGCAATGAACATATATGAGGTTGATATAAATTATGTGTTCAAAATTTGCTTTAAATGAAAAGTGTTAGATGTTGGGCAGAGAATACATTTTTACTGTGGTTAAAAACAGATTGTCTTCTGGCTTTTACTCAATTATCATATTAGCATCTAATCACACTCTTATCAGTGATTGAATCTTTTAATAAATGAGAAATATATTTTCTGTTAGTGTCAGACATCCAAGCACAGAAACAGATTCTTGTAACTACAGTGGTAACCTGTACCTATTTAGTTCTAAGAAGAAATATTTCAAAATATCAGAAGTAATAGTTCTGATGCTAACTACTCAACTCACACTCCAGCCTCAGCTCAGCCCTCTGGCTCATTAGCATGTCACCTCATTGATTTCTCATAATATTAAATGTGAGATTGACAAAAAATGCTTGCTGGACCATACCAATGAGCACTTGAATATCCGTTCAGACAGATTCAAACAGCAGTGACAGACAAGTGCCTCCACTGAGTGTTCGCTGCCAGGTTGCCTTCAGCTCAGGGGGTACCATATGCACGAACCAAGTATTAGTAGTGTTACAATGAGAAAAAAATCAGGCTATAATTTAAATATATATATATATGTAGATATACCAACACATATATGACAGTATTTAGTGAAAAATCTTAATATTCCTTTCAAGGGTTTGCAATTCAAACATTTCAGAAACATCCAAGTGAATGAAAATCACAGAGCAAAAATCTGGTTTTATCAATTTGCTCAGTGAAACAAAGCCGGAGGGTGAGTTAATATTCATTGATCTAACAGAGGATGGGTATGGTTACTTACTCTCCTTCCACTTAAGGTAGTTTCACCGTGGTGTTTCAGCTCAGTTTCAAACCAGGTCCCTACCTTAGGGGAACAGGGTACTCTTAGCTGGTGCTACTGCTCTTTATGGGCCCCCTCCTCAGCCCAGTCCAACCCAAGCAGCAGGTAGTTCTCAACTATCCTTTCCACAAGCCCAGCCCCTGATCTTGGACAAAATTAGGTCCATTAGTTATATACCTACATGTGGATTTGCATATTGTGAGAGCTTAAGTTTTGGCAATCTGAACAAAATAATAATTTAAGGAACAGTAAGGCATGGTAACGGTAATATTTTGTCATTGCATTGCAACTATAAAACTGTAAATATATTATTTTTTATAGAAGAAATTGCACAAAATGTACAGGCGTGCTGGTTTGAGGCAGGAACGAGCTGCTGTCCTACACAGAGCTGGCCGGCCCACAGTGGCCGAGGAATTTTGTCTCATTCCATGGTACATCACGCTCAGTGGATAGGCTGTGTGTGCACACGCAGTTTGGAAGGCACGAAGTTGCCCTGGGGTGTAGGATTCTTAAGGCTTTTGGCTAGCTGACAGCAGTGTCATTAGGTCCTTTGTTAGCAAGGGAGCAGTTCTTTGGTTAGTGGTTTGGGGTGTGGGTGGGATGTTTTTCAGATTGCTCACTGCTTTTGGGACCTGACTGTGTGTTGGTTGGCAAGTGGTGAGATATTGTATCTATGTTGCATTTGCTATTGTTTTAATTTTTTACTAGTAGCAGTATTGTTATTATTAGTATCACTACAATTTTCATATGTATTATTAAATAGTTTTTATCTTAACTTCTAAGAGGTTTCCTTGTCTTTTCCTCTGACCCTTCTCCACTGTGGTAGAGGGGAAGGGAGGTGAGTGAGGGACTGAGTGGTACTTAATTGCCAGATAAGGTTAAACCACAACAACAGGATATTTATTAAGAAATATGTATCATTACTCCAGTTCCAATCACAGAAGGGGAATGGAGTGGAAACTACACCTTTAAATCCCAATGTGCTTGTAAGGGCATGTTTTTTAATTAACCACAGCTATTCCTCTCTTCAGGCTTTTTCCTGCTACAGCCATGAAACATCTACTGGAGCAGTTCTGCCACTCCTGCAAAAGACTTCATATTGACTGTTGTCCAAACAGCAGGTCAGGTACAGGACTCTCTTTGTTTCAGCTCTGAAGACCAGAATGCAAATTCATAGTTTCTGTGTCACACAATGCATCATCTTTTGTTCTAACGAGAAGGTCAGATAGCTGTGTTAGGAAGAAAGTTCACATGTTGTACAGTATCAGCTAAAACACAGGATAACCATTTATGTATTTGACTTTCATGGGTGCAAAATGGATTTGCAATTAAAAATAGCATAAAATATTTTAGTTAACTCCAAAGTCAGGATGCTCAAAGAACCCCAGAGCCCAAAATGCAAAGGATGACTCCTCTTAACTTTACCACAGCCTCTTCCACAACATCAGCCAGGGACAAGCTGTGTGTCAGGTATCTGCCTCTATCACCCCCCAGCAAATGTTGTAGGAAGGCAAGAAATTCCAAAATGCTACCAAGGCTGTAAATTACACAGATGTAACTGGATATACAGAAACATTTACAGAGAGGTAAAGACAAATGTCTGGCTCTCCAGCTAATGTCAAGAACAGATGAGCGACGAGCTAAGAGAAAAAACAGGGACCAGAGACAACCATAGGGCTGGAGGTCCTCTAATGCGTGGGAAAGTTAAGTCTTCCTTCTACCTTTTTTCACAAGTAAAACTTTTTGTAAATGAACCCATGTGCAGCCTAAAGTGAAATTGTACAAGGGAGCCCTCCATGGCTGAAGATCAAAACAAAAATTAAAAAATTCTTTCTGAGAGAATCCATTCAACCAAGAAGGGAAGGTTTGCATAAGATCTCTACTCTGTGCACTTGCAACTTCTGAACTGCAGAGCAGCCAGTTCTCAGTCTCCATTTTCACACCAGCACTGCCACTAAGCCTGGCTCCCTGATATGTAATGCATTTGTGGCTTGAGCCATTGTCTGCCATAGCTGCAAGGAACAAAGTAGAGTCTTGGCACCTCTTGACCTTCCTCCCCTCCTCCTACCTTTTCGTGCTCTTCCCTATTTTACATGCAGACACAAGCTGAGGGCACCTATATAGTTGTTTGTAGGAAGGCACTATCAAATGCAGTTGAGCTATTCTACCACTTAAAATAGAGCTTATCTTCCTGATAATCTTTGACATCTTGTGGCTGTTTGCCATTTCCTCTGAGCAACTATCCATGGCTATTTTTTTCCATTAGGGATGATGGATGGATGAGAAAACTGATATGCTTCTAAGCAAGTTGTGGCAAGCAACAAAAAGAAATAATCCACCCTCTGAAGACTAATCAGCAGCATACAGACCTGGGGTTTGGTCAGAGCACAGCAGTATCCTCTTCATTCCAGGCTGGCTTCCTAAACCTCAAGTTTAAAGGAAGACATACCACTAGTTGGCTGCTAAAGAAGGCAGGAAAACCTGTTCCCAGTGTAACTGGCACAAATGCATTCAACCCTGCACTGCACTCAGTGATGATGGTTTAAATACCATCAGGGGAAACTCCCGAATCCTTTTCGGAAAGTTTACGAGTTGAAAGAACGGAAAAAGGGAGAGACACAAGATGAGGTAGAGGACCAAAAGATGCATTGCTCTTTCCTTCTGAAAAGCAGTGGCCTAAGAGGAGTCTTACCTCCAACAGTGCTTTGGTTCACAGAAAGGAAACTCCCTGCCTGATGGCCCAGCCACGCTCTGGACAGAAATTGGTTTAAGATAAGAAACTGACACATCCAGAAATAGAGTCGACGCTGTTAGTATTTCACAAAGGAGACAAATTAATGAAAAATATGTGATTTTAGAACTGTTTTATATCTGTGACTTCTTACGCTAGTTCTCGTCTAGACTGCATATGCTAAATGTTTTCCTTTGTATTAAGGCAAAAGTATACAGCTCAAATTTCCACTCCTGTGAAATGCTCTTTTCTTTAAAGGCTTCTCTGTATGTTTTGTAGATTGCTCTTCAAACATTCTACAGCTTGGTGCTCACAGGAGAGACAAGGGTAACACAGGCTGTTCGTGCTTTAAAATTAAATATTCCATCAACAAATTTGGCAAGTGATTTGGGAGTCATGCAGCTGTAGCAGTTTTACTTATTTAACCTGCAAAGAAACCCCTATACAGGTGGCAAGTCTGAACTAATCGCATTTCCACAGGAAGCTGGTCTAGGTAGCAAAGGACTGAATGGTTTGAAATGTGCTAAGGAAACCTGATCCTTTTGCAAAGAATTCTGGCTTCTTAACACAGGCAAGCAACCAGGTTGCTTTCTCTCTGGTCGAGTAACTTAAAGATGATAGAAGCATATAGATGTATATTCTGAAGCTATCTCTGATTTTGAACTTGGGTAAACTGCATCTGTGCCACTGTACTGCTTTACTATAATTCAATTTATGTTTTTCTGTCAGCAATATCCCTTTACAGGTATCAGATAAAACACTTTTATAAACTGCACTCGGACGATT